TCAGACGTCGCAGAGACGATAGGCCGTGCACTCTATCAGCGCTGCCGAGGAGAGCCGTCCTCACGACCTGCACCAGCCGCCGTGGACTTCAGCACAGCTGAAAATTTGGTGTACAACGAGCCTTTCTCTATGGCTGAACTCACGTCTGCCATCAGCTCGTTGCGCAGCGTCTCAGAAGGTCCGGATGCTGTCCACAACGACATGCTCCGTCATCTCCCGGCAGTTGCCCTCGAGGCGCTGCTAGCAACTTTCAATTCGCTGTGGGAGACTGGCACTTTCCCTGAGACCTGGCGGGAAGCCACTATCATTCCTATCTTGAAGGCTGGCAAGTCGGGACATGACCCTCTCCACTATCGGCCCATCTCTCTCACATCATCGCTTTCAAAGCTGATGGAGAAGATGGTCAATGTGCGTCTTAGCTGGTTTCTGGAACATCACGGTGTTTTTACAAACGCCCAGTGCGGTTTTAGAAAGCACCGCAGCCCTGTTGACCACATTTTAGCCCTCGACACCGAGATACGCACCTGTTTTACTGCAAAGAAGCACCTTGGAGCACTGTTCTTTGATATTGAGGCGGCCTATGATACAGTGTTACGACACAGAATACTTTCCAAAGTACACAAGTACGGCATACGCGGCCGGATGGGCCTCTTTATCAAGAACTTTTTATCGGGTCGTCGGTTCAAAGTCCGAGTTGGCAGTTGTCTTTCGAGCAGTTTTACGCAAGAGAACGGGGTTCCCCAAGGCGGAGTTCTCAGTGTGGCGCTGTTCGCTGTGGCGATCAATGATATTGGCGACAAACTTGCACCATCCATCGGCAGATCGCTATTTGTCGATGATTTCGCGATCTGGCTTTCTGCCACGACCGCCCGTCACGTTGCCAGACAGTTGCAGCTCGCTGTAACCCGTCTAGAGAGGTGGAGCGACGACAACGGCCTTCGTTTTTCAACAACTAAGACCGTCGCTATGCACTTTTGCCGCCGCCGCTGCGACGACTTAGCCTTGGGAATCAAGCTCCGTGGACAGGTGATTCCTACTCGGCCGGTGGCGAAGTTTCTTGGGATATTTTTTGACAGTCGTTTGACGTATAGAGAACATTTTAGAACGCTTCGGGAACGATGTTTTAAATCCCTGAACGTTTTAAAATGTGTCGCCCGCACATCTTATGGCGCGGACCGCAGGACGCTCCTTCTTTTATATCGGTCGATCGTCCGATCGAAACTGGATTACGCATGCTTTGTTTACGACTCTGCCAGCGAATCCAGTAAAAAGGCTCTTGACTCCGTGCACCACGCGGCGCTACGTGTTGCCACAGGTGCATTCCGCACGTCGCCCAAGAGCAGCCTCCTCGCCGAGGCACACGAACCGCCACTATCTCTCCGCCGTCAGATGCTGGGGATGAGGTACGCACTGAAACTCCGCCAGTTCCCAGGACATCCGACGTATCCGTACGTCTTTTCTCCTGATTTTAATCGTCTTGACAGAGTGCGACAATCGGTCTCCTTCGGATTGCGCATAAAAGAGCTCTTTTCTACAGTCAACATAGAGTTCCGTGAAGTGCGACGTACGTGGGGTACGCCCTCTCCGCCATGGAAATACGCTCCAGCGCAAGTAGACCTCACGCTCTCTGAGGTCAAGAAGGACGACCTGCCGCCATGTGTGCAACGAGCTCGGACATTGGAACACATTGCGTCATACGACGGTTTTATCTCGGTGTTTACAGACGGCTCGAAAACGGAGGACGGCGTCGGCTGCGCTTTCGTGGCTGGTCGCGACACGCGCACTTTTTCATTGCCTTCCTCTGCCTCCGTTTTCTCATCCGAGCTCGTTGCAATCGAGAAGGCGTTGTGTTTTATCGAGGTGTCTGACAACTTGTCTTACCTCATTTTATCGGATTCTCTCAGCAGCCTGCTGGCTATACGGAGGTTTAACCCAGACAATCCGATAGTCCAAGACATTTTATCTCGGCTCACGTCGGTGGAGCAGTCAGGCAAAACTATTAAGTTTTGCTGGATTCCAAGCCATGTGGGTATAACTGGCAATGAGCTCGCCGACGCGGCCGCGAGACGCGCGGCCGCGGCTCCATGCCTTCGGCGTTTGCCCCTGCCGGCTCGTGATTTTTACCCAGCCATCCAAACCTTCACGATGTCAAGCTGGCAGGCAGAGTGGCATCTCCAAGGATCTGGGAAGCTGCGGAGCGTAAAGCCTACCTTGGAGCCCTGGCAGTCTTGCTTCCAAAGCAACAGGCACCAGGAAGTGGCCCTCTGCAGATTGCGTATTGGTCATACGTACGCGACTCATGGCTATCTCCTCCGTGGAGAGGAACAACCCACATGCAGTCGGTGTGCCGTGCCTGTCACTGTCTCTCACGTGCTTTTATCTTGTCCTCTCGCTGAACCGAACCGGACACGCTATCTCGGGCGCATCGCTCCGGATACCACTATCCGCCACCTTCTGGGTGACGACTCACCCTGGGTTTTATCCGGCAACATTTTCTCCTTTATCCGTTCGATCAACTTCCAAGTGATTTACTCGACCTGACATTAAATCCAACTAGTCCTCTCTAGTCCTTACATCTAGTCAGTTGTCTCGGACGACACTCTTGCGCTGCTTTATCTTACCTTGCTCTTTTATATCGAGTCATTTACTTTTAAGTCTTCGTATCTAGAAGGTTCTCTCTTTTGACACACTTGTTTTATTAAAACGACGTTATGGGCGCAAAATGACCTAAGTAGTCGGCGCGCCCTAAAGCCCCAATTAACAAACAAACAAAGTATGTTTGTGAGTTTGCCGAGTCGCCTTACGGCGGCGGCCAGGATCGGAGCTGAGGGCCCACCTCGGTTCTGGAGGCGGTTCCGGGCCGGCCCGCTGCGCACTCTTACTGCGATATAAATTGACTGGTGCAGAAGAAAGCTTGAATACAAACAAGCTTTTGACAATCGTTGCGTTACTAGAGTCACTGGATCGCCGATGATGTACCAAATAAATACGGGTCCTTTGAAACGATGCGTACGCGTGTCTTTTTTGGGAAAATAGAACATTTCGTTGGTTTGAAGTGTACCATTTCGGGAACGCTGCGTCGCAGCTGCGAGTGCAGCTGACCGATGAACAAAATCAAATATACCAACTGTAGGAACTAGGAAACCAAGAGAGTGTGCTGCCTCTGAAAGTTCTATCTCCCCAGAGATGCTCCTAGCATCGACGGCATTACAAAATCATGGGCTCCTTCAGTAGTGCAGAACTTTGCGTGTGACGTCAAATGTCATTTACCTGACATGAACAGAAAATATTGTAGATGTCAAAAAGATCCGGTTTTGAACAAAGGGTCACATTTCAGCTGTGTGTCTGTCCGCATATCAATTTATCACGGAGTAAACCTTACCTTTGACAGGCATGGCGGTGAACGTTACCGTTTTAAATGTCAACCTGCAATGGCAGGTATTGTCTGACGGATGTAGTGCATCGCTGTTGAAATGGATACTCTTGATACTCTTTTAAAAAACCTGCTCTTAGTATTTCCTGGTATGTTGTTTGAGAGTATTAAAACAATGGAAATAAATTCGTGGACAAAAATTAAAATGTACGCTTAGCGACTTAGGGACACTGACAGCCGCTACCTATCGTTGGTTTTGCGTCTGGGAGATTGTTATGATGACCGCTCCAGGTCAAAACAGCTATCAGCCGCTCCGTGTACACGTGTGGCGGTCGTGAGAGAGCTCGTCCCATGCTGCACCGATCGTTCATGAGCCATCCGGTGTGTGCGACCCGTTCCGTGCCGTCCCTACACCCAGTGTGTGTGTGTGACACGCCAGTGGACCAATCCGCACCCGGTGACGACCGATGGCCGCGGCGCAGCGGGCGGAGGAGGGGCAGATTGAGCGTTATATTGACATTGGTGACGGATGGACCCCGGCTGGGAGTATGTCCGGAGGAGTCTGCCCCCTCCCCTCCTCCCCCTCCGGAGGATGATCGGCGCACTGTCGCTTTCTGTCGGTGACAGCTAGCTGAAATGGATACCAGAAGAATGAGATAATTATTTAAAATAGAAAGAAGCGAGCAAACGTAATGCTACGTTAGTGATTCCTTTGAACTTTTGATTTCGATCTAGTGAGAATTTTCCCAAGCGTTAAAGCGTAGAATAAAAAGATATTGGTCGAATCCACACTCGACAGTGATCTTGAATTTTGTTACGGAGCGAGCGAAGCGAGCGTAGTCTTTCCTTAGATTAACGGAAATTTCTGAGTATGAGCGGCCGGCCGGCCGGCCGGCCGGCCGTGCGGACGCTTTTGCGAGGCTTATATCTCAGCAACCACTTGACCGATTTACATGGGGTAATTTTTGTAGGGTAGCTTCATTCCTTCTACCAAGTATTGGACTATTCCCGATGCATGTGGGTGACCCCTTATGCACGTGCCACGTGCAAAACGAAGAGGTGTCAGTTTTGCAATTGTTGCAATATCTCGGTAACTACTTGGCCGATTGCGCTCAAAGTTGGCATGTAGGTAGACACCCACTAGGCACTGCATATCCATGTGCCAGAGTTGGGGTGCTGCTGCACGTGCGCACGTGCAGGGGTCGTTTCCAGATCTCGAGAACGGCTGGACCGATGGCGCTCAAATTTGGTACACGGTTAGGGACCAGTTAGTAGGGTGCCGTGCACAAGTCAGTTGGGACCCATTTTGCACGTGCGCACGTGCAGGGTGCCGCTCCCAGATCTCGAGAACGGCTGGGCCGATTGTGCTCAAATTTGTCACATCGCTAGAAACCGGTCAGTAGGGTGCCGTGCACAAGTCAGTTGGAGGTACCCCCTCGAAATTTCGCACGTGCAAGACTCACCCCCTCGCTCGCTCCGTTAGTCGCCCCAAAAGGCGCTATACTGGTGTATGTAACTATGGATATAACTTTGCTGCCCTTTATCTCCATTCCTGTGTCGTATTGACGATACTCCCCGCCCTCTGCCTGCCGCTCTCACTGACCGACCAACACCCCTCTGCCGCCAGGTACCCCAACATCGAGCTGACCTACGAGGTAACGGACAAGGACCGGGTGCGCTCCGGTCACCCGGTGCACCTGGTGGTCAGCCTGGAGCGAGAGGACGACGTCGTCGGACCCGTCATCGCGCCCTTCTTCCCTCAGGTGAGTAGGGGGAGTAGTAAAGGAATCTTGGATAGGGGTGCTCGGCTGTGTGGTGGGTGACAGTTACTGAAGGGGTGTCTCGAAGGCCGTATGGGGTACCGTAGTGCTTTACGGTGTTCGGGGTTTTTCAGTATGCATTACAAGGCCGTGCGACAAGTGACAGAAGCGCCGCCACGTTGATATGGGGGGGGGGGGGGGCACCGAAATGAGTCGTGCGTATGGACTATGGATAATTCGGACGGTGTATGGTGGGGGCAGTCGGTCTCCTGCCACGACTGATAGGACGTTATGCGTTGGTGAGCCAACAGAGGAACGTTGTCTGTGGCAACATCACACACGTATTCTACCAAACAACAACATGAGGACGGCTGGTTATCAGATTGGCATACTAGTTATTTCATCTACCTCATTTCCCACATTGTTAATATGGAAAGTAGCTGCCTTTCCGCGCGGGTGGCGGCTGCGCTGGCCGCACGCCCGCGCGTGCCGGGCGTCCATTCGGTCCCGGCCAGGCCAGGCGTGGGACGGCGGACTTGGCGTGATGACTGGTCCGGGAACACAGGCGGTCGGAACGGCAGTCACACGCGGTCGGCGCGGTCCTGACCGAAGCTGAGCGATTCTACTCAATCCATGGTGCTGCGGCCTACACTAGTGAAATATGATGTAATTGTGCGCTCATGACGATAATACGTTGGCAGGCTCACCCTGGAAAAATTATGATATGGGACCTTAGTTGATCCCGAATGCTGAGTTCTTTTGCTCTTTGCACTTCACAGCCACTGCTCTTTGCACTTCACAGCCGTTTCTCTCTCTTTCTTTCTTTCTTTGTGAAGCATTAGCACCAACTACGAGTCGAGTTTGTCGACTTGTCGAGTTTCCACAACAATTCACACGCAGACGCACAACACCAGTTCCCTGACTCAAGGCCCACCCACTGGCCCCAGCTTGTGTCCAACTATATTCTTTGGAATTGGCGCGTCTCTGAACGACTTGGGTTTCCCTCTTTCTCACTCCTCTCCTAAGAGCAAGGCTGAGGAAACCCAACAGGTGAGTTAACAGGTGAGTTGCTCACACGAAAACTGAAATTGATTGAACTGCAACAATTTGATTGATTTGTTTCATTTCATTAATATTTATCTTATGTAATGCGTTCACAAGCTTACCCTGGAAAAAATTATGATGTGGGGCCTCAATTGATTCCGAATGCATTATTCTTCTGCTCTTTGCTCGCACGAAAACTGAAATTGCTTGAACCGCGACAATTTGATTGATTTGTTTCATTTTATTAATATTCATCTTATGTATTTCGCATGGGCGTCGAAACCGGGGGGGACGGGGGGGACGCGTCCCCCCCAGTCGAGGAATCCGGGGGGGGACGTCCCCCGCAAAAATATCCCCATGAATGACTTAAAAAGTGGCCTATGAAAATTGACCTATTGTAGTTTTGATATGAAATTGCAGATATACAAATTGAATCATACGAATAGCTGAGAATTGAATCACTGAGCCCTTGCATACAAATTAGGTACAGGGCTGCGGAGTAGATTGGCTTTTGGTAACTCCGACTCCGGCTGTAAAAAGTCGCTCGGAGTCTGACTCCAATCCCATCTCCGACCACGATGTCACTCAGTCCGCATCGCGGTGAAAAACTTGTGATGTGATGCTTTTGTCTTATTGCACGTTGCTTATCACATTCAAGGATTAGGTATATTGCCTACAATGAGGTACATACAGCTCTAGGCTGTCCGTCCCAAGTCCTCGATAGAGAGCCAAAGCTCCAGTTATAGCCCGGTGACGACCACATCCAGCAAGGGCTGAAGACCGGTCCCAAAGTCTCAGGGTGGGGTGTCAGCTTGCAGGGACTACACATTTCAGGATATTCGCAATAGTCGAGACCCTCAGCTCATTCTCAAACGGCCCTCTTCCCGTTCGAGGCCATCCGACAGTAGGCCTCACCATGGCCCTTGAACGCTTGATGCTTGAGTGTGAGAGGACCTCGTCCCGGTCTGAGAGGGCCCAGGAAGCTTTAATACTCAGTTGGTCCTTGATTAGTCTAACCACGACCCCTACAATCACCACAGCCAACAGAATCTCCAGCTCTTATCCGACCCATCCTTGGGAAACTGTTGAAGTTCCACAATCCACATCGTCATCCACGTGTGCCGTATAACACGACTGGACGTAAACGGGCTTGAGATATTTCGACTAACCAGCCAAGAGCACGACTTAAAACCAGAGTATGTTGACTCCGACTTCAGAGTCAAAGTTCGTTACGATTTCGGTGACGATTTCGGTTACGATTTCGGGTCGGACTACGACAGAAGTCGACTCCGACCCCGCAGTCCTGGAGTTTCACTGTACAAAGTTTCCAACTTCTTGGAAATAAGCTGTACGGTTGACAGAGGATCACACGATTTTTTAGAGGCAGGGCTGCTTGACTTGGTGACAAGACCTTAGCTATCCTGCCTCCTGGTATCAAACTTATACGAAATGCAAAATTCATGTGTTTTTGGCGCTGTTTTGCTGGGCGTTTTTGCTAATTTTCGCGGCGCTTCGCGCCGCCAATTCATACAAGTAAAAAGGAGATATTATGACTAATAACGCCTCTACGCGGAAAGAACATGTGTATGCGTTACAAGTAGTGCATAGCCCTAAAAACGTACGGTAGCCGGCTTATGGGTTTTAAGCCAGCCAATCCGTCCCCCCCAGTCAAAAATCCGTGGCGACGCCCCTGGTATTTCGGCTTTTTATATTGTCTTTCGCGGTGACTGTCGGCCCGCCTCGCGGCTCCCGGAGCCGCTTCGGACTGGCTCCGGCCCGGTTCGGCTCCTTGGTCAGAGTACTTAATCAGCTGTGTTCAGCACGCTGCCCGGCCGAGGGTCGATGTGCGGCGCGGTAACTCATCCTCCCAACACCAAACCGCCGCCGCCGGAGACGTATGGGGCTGCTCCCAGAGGAGATGTAAGGGTTTGAACGCTGGGAACATTCATTTGCGGTGTGAATGAATTGTCCCGACATTAAATCCATCCAACTTTCTGCATGGCACGGTCGCGCTTTTGGAGAGCGCTGTTGAAGTTGGAATTTGCTGCCGAAGTTACCGGGGACATTCATTTGCGGCTCGGCATCCACACCCAACTCTGGCCATGGTAATCAGCGCCCGAGTCGTTATGTGGCGGCGCCGCCTCCCACGCTAAACCATAGCGGGCCGGTGTGTTTAACGTGCGGCCCGGTGCCTGTGGAACCGACGGCTGGGGACGTGATCTCCCTCCTAACGGCAGCAGCGCGCGCTGCCGGCGCCGGCCATCTCCGCCGAGCACCGGGGCAGCTCCACGTGCCGACAAATTGCCTGCCACGACCACGGCTCGCACATGACCGCACGAGCGGCGGACACAATAGGAGGCAGCATTGGTCAGCTAACAGGGTACGTGCGCCGGCACAGTGCTCACTGGGCGGTAATTACACGACAGAACGGTGCATCCAGGCAACGGAACAGAGCATCCAGGCAACGCAGCGCCGCATCCCCGCGCGTGTTGCCGGTGACGGGCCGTGCCGTGTCTTACACACAGCGCCGGTACGTTGCGGATGCAGCCTGATGCGACTGCCGGGCGCTGCGAAAGCTGGGGCACTCAAAGGCCGTGGCAGAGGGTGTGACGTGAGTGACGTCACATTGTAGCTCCAGGTTATTGACGCGCGCGAGGCCTCGACTCAGTTTGATTGAGCAGTCGCGTGTCAAGACGCCACTGCGTCTGTTTGAGAAATGTAGGGAGGTTGAGCGAATGGCTCGCTAGAGAACTAATCAAATGTGATGGTGTTGTTCCATGACAGAATTTGGTGGCTGATGTAGACATTACTTTATATCGATATCAGCGTTGATTGTTAGTCGCATCCAGCGTACCAATGGCGACTGGGAGCGTATTCGGTTCCTACGAACGTGATTCAATCCCAGAGAATGCATATGAGCCAATACAGCGCTCGGAGTCCAGGAAATGTCACCCATTTAGATGACGCTCGTCTCTTCGTGGCACGATAGTGCGGCTGAATCGCCGTGCGTTTCGATTTACGATTTTATGCATATGAGTAGCAGAGTCTCCCGCAACCGCCGCCGACCTTCCGTGTCTGACCCCCCCCCCCCCCTCCCTCGGTCAGCGGCGGGACGAGGGCTGGTGGCTGGTGGTCGGCGACCCCAAGACCAACTCACTCATCTCCATCAAGCGGCTGACGCTGCAGCAGAAGGCCAAGGTGAAGCTGGACTTCGTGGCGCCGTCGCCCGGTGAGTAATGATCGCGGAGGCTCCGAGTCTCTGGAGGCAGACGGAGGCCGGCCCGGACTGGACTGCCGGCGAAACGGTGTGCCAGAGGGGCCTTACAGATCGTAGCTTGCTGGGGCTTACTTTTGTGTGATTATTACGTTGCTGGTGTTATATATCTGTTGTTCTGTCTTGACGTTGTGTCGGGATTTTTCGTCCATGACCCTGTTTCCTATCTTGTTCGCGTTTATCCGGGGGTTTCTTTTTAATGCCATCGTATCATCAAATTAGGCAGAGGCTTAATGACCTCGTAAATGTAATTTATATCGTCACTCATGGGACCTACGCTTGCTATAGTCTATTTTAAGCCAAAGAGATTGAACAAAGTGGTCTAGGCTCATCTTAACGGCACGTTTACACGAAAATACAGGCAAGCGTGTGAACTTCCCACATGGCAGCGTTAAACTGAGATTTCGTCGTGAAAATCCCCTTTTAATAAATGTTTTGGCCCTGGAAACTCGACCCGTCACGCCATCAACGACACGCGTCGTGCTCGCTTTGTTCTAACTACCGCTGCTCGCTGACTGACGTCCGTGGCGTTTTCAGGGAAGCACACTTACGTGCTGTACTTCATGTCGGACTCGTATATGGGCTGCGACCAGGAGTACAAGTTCTCTCTGCAGGTTGGCGAGGCGGACAGTGACAGTGAGAGCGGCAGTGACAGCGACTGAGCGAGCGATCCCGCCGGCGTACGATGTGCGTGTGCGTGCGTGTGCGTGTGTTCGCTAGATGGGACACGGGAGTGGTGCGTGATGCGATACGAGCGTCTGTTTCATAGTGTGGATGTTTTCGGTTGGTTGTATGGAGCAGACTGTGTTTTAGGTGGCCAACTTGGCTGATGTTTTGGAACGTGCTTTCGTATCGCATCAGACCGGCAGGACAGTCGGCACCGCCAGATATGCGCGGGGCGTCATCAGGACTGCCGTCATCACCTGTTACGTACCGTGTGTCGAGTGTCACAGAGAGCATCCCTCGCTCAGTAACCGCCGGGCCGGCTGGACTCGCACCTCACCCAGTGAATGTCGCACTGGGTGGAACTCGCTGCTGTGTGCGCCAGAGGGCCATATACGCGTGTTCTGCGTACCGACGAGCCGCAGCTGTCGTCTCCGGTGATGTGTCGGTGCTCACGGCTCGGGTCGCGCCCCAGCGGCCGGCCAGCAGCGCCCGGCGAGCCCATCGGCCCGAGACCTCGTACAATAAATCGCCAGCTCGCCACCCAGCTCGTTTGCTGGGTCCCTCCGCGGACCGACGACAAGCGGCGGTGCCAGTGCCGCCCTTGTGGAGCATCGGACCGGCGCGGATCGCAGTGCCGGCGAGCGCACGGCCGACTCGGGTCAGTAGTGGGATCATTGCAGGGATTGTGATGGAGACGGGAAAGGCACGGACAGACTCAATGCCGTATTACGGCGCACGAACTCACAGGGTTACGACGGTTGACACGGCACTGGAAGGCGTGCTGGCGACAACGTCTTATGTAGGGTTCAACGGGATAGGTACGAGAAGTGACACCACTCATCAGTACATTTTCTGTCATACACCTCTCTAAATCTTTGCTTATGTAGTGGCCTATTTTTAATTGTTCACACATGTAATACAAACAATCATTTGTGTGCCCGTCGGCGCTAGGCTGCCCGCACTAACAACCGACATCACGTCGCCGGGCCGACCCGGAACTGTCCTCACTGCAGCCATCTACGACCGGATATCGTTATATACTGGTCCGCATGCATTCTCATTAGCCGTAGCTAACCTATGATCACCCGGGCCCGACCAGGCGCTGTACCAATATCCGTCCATTACGCGATGATGTCACCCAATGACGCAACAGTTGATGAGGATGTTCTCGGAAACTAAGAACACTCGCCACTAGCCAGTCCATCGTGGAAGCATGGTGAAAGGCTCCTTGGCTTCAGAGGATAATTAGGTGCATTATTGATGGACTGTTCCGCATTGACAAAAAAAAAAACTTCCTAACTAGGATAAACTTAGTAAATAATAGAGAAATTGGCAACTGATTTTCGGTCAAGTCGTTGGTGTACTCCAGCAAACACCGAATGCGACCTGAAAAATGGGCAAAAATGTGTACATAAGTGTGGAACACTCATCGTAGCATATGTTCTAGGGCATTGATGGGGTTTGGCACGCGCTGCTAAGCTGTCAGGTAAATGACCGGATATAAAAAATGGCCTTGATATAAAAGAATATATAATAGCCCTGTTGACCTAACGAGTGCCCTGGGGTCAAGGTATGGCATTAATTAATAATCCTCACTTTTTGCAGGGCATAAATGTTCTTCACCTACGACATGACTCCTTTGCTTATTGCTGTCGTAAATTTTTATTGCAGTTATATTGTAGGTCACAGTTTCAAGTCGTACCCTGAAAACAGCGACAGTAGAGGCTGAACCGGTGAAGAATCGCTGTCAGCAACACGTCTGTTTATTGAAGGCCGTCAACGGAACCGGAAGACCCCCCACCCCCACCCCCACCCCATCGAATCTGGCTCGCCCTGTGACCGGGTTACGGGCTAGATCTAGTGCCGGCCCGCCCTTACCCGCTACATCGTGGGTATAAAACCCGACCCAGCCACGCCCCACGGTGTAGTCACTGATCAGGGAGGTTGCCTGCCACGTCCGGAGACGCAGCCGCCATGATGAGCTCGGTAAGTGTTCGGTTCTCTGCTAACTGAGCACCATTGGTGATTGGACGATGTAAAGACAGTGCCACAAACATGAACTGGAGTGAGCTATGTGCCATGGAAGCTGTCGGGTAGTAGCGTTAGATAGTTAAAATGGCTTGTAACGTTGCAACGTTGAGATACGGCCGGCTTAAGATGCGATTCGTTGCTGGTCGCTCGTAAAAGTTTTTTGCGTGCAGCAGTCTTCGCTGAAAAATACACGTTTCACTGAGACTGATCGGTCTGCTGTTTCACTGCTGCAGGTATCTGTGTGGCTGCTGTCAGCCGTCTGCGCCCAGCTGGCAGCGGCTCAGGCGCCCACCCAGTACAACTACCCCGAGTTCACGGGCGGCTACCAGGCTGCCGGAGCGGCGGCCAACCGTCTGGCTGCCGCGCGGACCGGTGGGTTAGCGCCGGCGCCCCGGGCGGCCGCCACCGGGCCGGGCCCCTACAACGCCGCCGCCGTGGCCGCCGGGTACAACTACCCGGAGTTCACTGGAGGGTACCCGGCCCGCCAGCAGGCCCCTGCGCAGGCCTACAGCCCCGCACCGGCGGCTTACAACGCCGCGCCTGCCGCCTATAGCCCTGCCCAGGCCGCCTACAACCCCGCTCCCGCCGCCTACAACCCCGCAGCCTACAGCAGCGCCGCAGCTTACGATAACGGCGGCTACAGCGGCGGCTCTGCCTACGACAACAGTGGCTACAACGACGGCTACCAGGCGCAGAGCGGGCCGTCCCACTACAACTACGGCTACGCCAGCGACACGTCGGCCAAGCAGGAGGTGCGCTCGCCGGACGGCACCGTGCGCGGCGCCTACAGCTACATCGACGCCAACGGCAGGACGCAGAAGGTGGAGTACGTCTCGGACTCGACCGGCTTTCACGTGGTGCGGGGCACCAACCTGCCGCAGGCGCCGGCCCCGCCGCCGACGGCGTAGGGCGTGGTGGCGAGCGTCGTGAGTGGGGACGAGGTAGAGGGTTGGGCTCGTGATATTAGTCTGGTCGGACGGGAGTCAGCCGGAGGTCAGCCTACGACGGGCTTTGGGCGGGTGGCCTGTTCAGATCAGTGAATACGGGGACTGGGCCCTGTGCGTGCAGGGCAGCTGTTCTATGGATTGTATGTTGTTTTCGTGTGACGTTCGCGTCTTGATGCTTGCCGATAGATTGTCAATTACCTGATGAAGATTTGTTTTGATAAGGTAGCAATGACCTTTACTTTGAGTTCGATGCAATGTAACCATCGTCTGATCATAACGCATTTGGGAAGAGGAGCCAGGAGGCGCTCTTTCGCTCTTTCGTTTTCCCTCACTCTTTCTCTCTATCGCGTCTGCTTTGCCACGTAGCGACAAACACCGCTGCCACTGGATAGTCCACAGTTGGCACCCCGCCGGCTCGGTCCAGCTCTCCCGCAGCTAGTGTCACGCGTTCATTCCCACTGGGGTCGACACGTGCAGCCCCACCGGAGCCGTCAGCGACGCCAACCACCTCGCCGGCTCCACCCACCGAACACAACAGACGCCGCCCACCGTCACACAGCGGTGCACATTCTCCAACACTTGTTTTTACCGGCGCCGGACCCCCGCCAGGCCAAGGCAATCAGGGTTCATCTGATTAGGCCGCCGGGCACACGGAGGTCGCTGCTTGAGAGCATTGATCGGGAGGTCAGCCGGCCGGTCGGTTGGCTGGCTCAGCTGCGGCCTAGAGGAAGTGAACGGCGGCCAGCGGTGGAGAGGGAGAGAGCTAGTAACTAGTAAGGGGCTGCGGAAGTCGGCTGAGTGCGGGTGGGTCAGTTTTCACTGGTCACTGATCGCTGACTTTCGAAGCTGCATAAATATCATGTATTTTTACGATTATTCTGGTCATAGAATTTGCTGGAAGAATATTGCTGTCAGAACGCCTGTCATGTGAAGCCGACTTGACCCTCACCAAGTTATTTTCGTGCACTCAAACTTTTTGCCCGGTACTGCGATGGGCGATGAGCCCTAACATATTGCGCTTGCGTTTCTGAATCCGCGCACTTTATGCGTTCATTTGCAGTCTGCTTCATTAGGCATTCAGTGGTTGTCGCTGAATTTCCCGAGGCAATACATTTCGTCGGGGAGTTCCAGGATAACGTAACCACATTAGCCGCGAGACCTATGTATGACCTGTGGTGACACAACCACAAGAAATTCCCTGTCGTATAAGGCGCCCGGGTCTGAATAGCCTAGTGTTATCAGCACACAGAGCACGCCCTATACCCTCATCTGCACGGCATTATGCAGTTGTTATGTCGTTAATTTTACATCGTCACGGTATAGGTACTACGCTCAGACATCTCCAAACAATCAGACACCACTGGCACTGTCGCCCGGAATTACCAGCAGCAGTGCGTGTTTTATGTGTCGCCGTGCGGCACAAAAACCCGCCCGGCCGGCCGGGCCGACTGTCGGCGGCAGGTGCGCCGGCGGAGGCAGTGGATTTCCGCCGCGCGTCTGCGGCCGCTCCGTCGGTCGAGACGCACCGGCGCGGCGGCGGCGCGGCAACAGGTCGGCCCGGCGGCCCGGCGGCCGCCAGTGGTGTCGGCGCCGGCTGCGGGGAGGGTGGCGCCGCCGGAGCTCGCTGAGGGGGCATCTGCACGGCCCAGAGCCGACGGCAGACCGAGCGACGACCAGAGGCCGACGCGCTGCCACCGGCCGAAGATTGGGGCAGGAACAAGAGCAAACCCGTAAAAACTGACGCCAAGCTCTATTGGATAGAGAAAACAGGTTAGACGATAAGACAGATAATTTATCTGACAGAAGACAGCCAGCAGCAGTATTCCAGAAGATCAGGAATCGCGTCCATATTGAGGAATAGGAGACAATCTTACTTGCCGAGCAAGCGTTACATTACATCGTCCGCTGGACGGAAGGTAAACCGAATTAACTAAGACAGGCGCACTTCATGCGTAAAACGAGACTGCAGCAAGAATTGCTAAACCCGCGAGTAACAAGTTAGAAGTCTGCAACCGACGGTATCGCAGACCCAGCGATCGAACTACTAATTAACTCAAGTTTGACCAATCAAGAACTTGAAACTGAGGCGTTCATTTACTAACGAAACTTTTCGGCACAATCCAAAGCCGTACAAACTTCCATCTGTCAAAGGTCCTTGTGATACGCCTAAGCCCGTTGAACTTGGTTGAAAGGAAGCAGAATGGCGGCAAATGCCAGCGAATTACTTCAGCAAGTGCACAAAAAAGTTTACGATGAACAGTTTCTCATCCTTTACGCAAACAACTCTTTGCCGCCGTTCCAGAACATGTCTACGATTATCATGGAAGATCCGCAGAACTTTGTTCTGACCATGAAGGTGCAGATCATCTTCTACATGATCTACTCCATCATCTTCCTGCTGGGTATCTGCGGCAACTTCCTGGTGGTGTACGCCGTTCTGCACAACAGGGCCATGCAGAACGTCACCAACTTCTTCATCCTGAACCTGGCGCTCTCCGACATCCTGCTGTGCGTGCTCTGCGTGCCCTTCACCCCGCTGTACACCTTCCTCAACCGGTGGGTCTTCGGCAACGTCCTCTGCCACCTGGTCCCATGCGCGCAGGCCATCAGTATCTATATCTCCTCGCTGACCCTCACGGCCATCGCCATCGACCGCTTCGTCGTCATCATCTACCCGTTCCGGGCGCGGATGCTGACGTCGACATGTCTGGCACTGATCCTCTGTACGTGGCTGTTCTCCACGGGCGCCACGCTGCCCTACGGCGTGTACGTCGAGTACAAGATGACCACCGACGGCGACTACGTCTGCGAGGAGAACTTCCCGGACGACCTGCGCCTGACGTTCGGCACCATCACCACCGTGCTGCAGTTCGTCGTGCCGTTCCTCATCATGACCGTCACTTACACGCTCATCTCGCTGAAACTCTCCAGTCGCGTGCGCTCCAAGCCCGGCTCCAAGAGCGTGCGCAAAGAGCAGGCCGACCGCGAGAGGAAGCGGCGCACCAACCGGATGCTGATCGCCATGGTGGCCGTGTTCGGCCTCTCCTGGCTGCCGCTCAACCTGATGAACATCCTGGAGGACGTCTCCATCAACCTGGGACTCGGCTGGGAGAACTGGCCCTACTTCCACCTGCTCTTCTTCGTCGCGCACGCCATCGCCATGAGCTCCACCTGCTACAACCCGTTCCTCTACGCCTGGCTCAACGAGAACTTCCGCAAGGAGTTCAAAGAGATCCTCCCCTGCTTCCGCGCTGCCATCGCCGGTGGCAGCGGCACCGCCAGGGGTACTTTCGGCACGGGGCACACCCGGAACGGTATCGGCAGGAACGGCGGCACGAGCGAGCCGCGCACGAACGGCGTCAGCCTGCAGCCGAGCCCGGCCGGCCGGCCGGAGGACGGCCACGCTGGCGCCGCCGGTCCGCCGGTGCCGCTGACCAGCATCCAGGTCAAGTACGAGGTCGGCAACGACAGCGTGCTGCTGCTGACGTCCGACCGGACCAGCGACGCCCGACACGTCTCCACGCTCACCGCCGAGACGGCCACAGACGCGTCGCCGCTCGTCACCGACCTCTAGGTGAGCAGGGGCTAATGCAGGGACTCGCCTGACGCCTCTAGGTGAGCAGGGGCTGGTGCAGGGACTCGCCTGACGCCTCTAGGTGAGCAGGGGCTGGTGCAGGGACTCGCCTCTAGGTGAGCAGCGGCTGGTGCAGGGACCCACCTCTAGGTGAGCAGGGGCTGGTGCAGGGACTCGCCTGTAGGTGAGCAGGGGCTGGTGCAGGGACTCGCCTCTAGGTGAGCAGGGACTGGTGCAGGGACTCGCCTCTAGGTGAGCAGGGGCTGGTGCAGGGACTCGCCTCTAGGTGAGCAGGGGCTGGTGCAGGGACTCGCCTCTAGGTGAGCAGGGGCTGGTGCAGGGACTCGCCTCTAGGTGAGCAGGGGCTGGTGCAGGGACTCGCCTCTAGGTGAGCAGGGGCAGGTGCAGGAACTCGCCTCTAGGTGAGCAGGGGCAGGTGCAGGGACTCGCCTCTAGGTGAGCAGGGGCTGGTGCAGGGACTCGCCTCTAGGTGAGCAGGGGCTGGTGCGGGGACTCGCCTGACGCCTCTAGGTGAGCAGGGGCAGGTGCAGGGACTCGCCTCTAGGTGAGCAGGGGCTGGTGCAAGGACTCGCCTCTATGTGAGCAGGGGCTGGTGTAGGTGCAGGGACTCGCCTCTAGGTGAGCAGGGGCTGGTGCAGGGACTCGCCTCTAGGTGAGCGGGGACTGGTGCAGGGACTCACCTCTAGGTGAGCAGGGGCTGGTGCAGGGACTCGCCTGTAGATCAGCTGGGGCTGGTGCAGGAACTCGCCTTAACCCTATTCCTGGCGGGCTCCGCCGGGACAAGAAACTGGCGGGGGGGGGGCCGATTCGGCCCCCCCTTCGGATCTCAAAAACTACACATCGCAGCGACAAACGGCGAACGGTGTTTGATAGGTCGTTTTAAGATCTACAACTTTTACATAAAACATTTTCAGGTCAGGTCAATATTGAGGTCACCAGAGGTCATCAACGATAAAATGTTTTGGAATTAGTTACCTATATAACTTTTAAACTAAGAAACATAGAGACATAAAACCAATACATTTTTTGTTGCTCTCGCCGAGGCGATGCGAAATAAGTATGTGATGACCTTCACAGGTCAATTTAGAATTTGACCTGAGGTCAAGGTCAGGTCATTCATCAATGAGGTTGTGGGGTATGGTCATGCTGCATACCAAACGACGCGCCTTGGCCAGGCGAGCAGTTTGGTACCACTTACAAGTCTTAAGCACCATCATGTCGTGATTTATTGACAGAAAAACGATTTATGACGTCACATGACCTCAGATGACCTTTGCCGGTGCCCCTGTCAATTAGCGGCACCAGGATCATCACCGATGAGATAATCTTCCATAATACTGAAAGAACTGGGTGGTTTTGACTCGTTTACACGAAGCAGGAGGCGTTTCAATATTTTCCCATAGGCTTGCAATGTAAAGGTCACGAGTCTGGCCTGACCTCAGGTCACAGATATGAAAATTCTGATATATACAAATTGCACATACTGGTACCCTAACTAAAGCCTGAAGAGAAGAAATTGATCGGTCAAAAACTCTAGCTCTGGCGTGATTGCAAACTTTTCTGAGGTAGGGTCACCAAACCGCCTCTGGTGACCTGACCTGAGGTCAGATCAACTCAAAATTTTCAGAAATGTTGCGTAAAAGCCTTTTAGAAAAAGTCAGAAAATTTGAGCTTCCTAGCTCAAAGCGTTTGGGAGATATAACCAAAAAACCTCAGGGGGGTGGCTCCTGAGGCCCCCCCCGCCAGGAATAGGGTTAAGGTGAGCGGGGACTGCTAGAGAGACTCATCTCTAGGTAAGGACGGCTAGGGTAAGCTAAATATTAACCCTCGCCCATGTAGGGGGGGGGGTTGGTGCAACCCCCCCCCCCTGAGGTTTTTCGGAAATAGCGCAAAAACGGCGGCGCGCAGCGCCGCCAAATTTTGGGTACCTTATGGGGCAAACCTTGCGCATCTTTTAATAAAAAAAATTTGACCGGGTCATGCCAGGTCACGGAGTTATGACGTCACAAAGGGAACAGCCTCAGGCCGGATTTTCACAAACTGAGTGCCAACGCCCGAGGTTTCCTGCCGGTGGTACGGACATCGGTTGATGGATCGTGATGAAACTTCCCATGCATGTTGGGGCAAGTATTGGCTATCATATGGTATAAGAAACTTGACCGGGTCAGGTCAGGTCACGGAGCTATGACGTCACAAGAGGAACAGCGTCCGGTACTATTTTTGAAAAGCGCCCGAACCACTATTTTGCTAATTCTTGTCACCTCAATGGGAATATGCAGCAATATTAGCTTCTATAGGGAGCAAATGGACATCCCAAATCCAAAAATACAATCAGATTTCAAAAATTTAAATTTTGATTTTTCGAATTTCTGCCGCCGACTGTGACCTTGCCGACTTCCGGCGCTCCCAACGCGCCATTTTTAGAGCTAGGGAAACGAAATACATACCAAACGACAGAGAATTGATCAAGGAACACGATAGTGAAGGTTTCAAGTCGATATCTCCCACCGTTTTGCCGCAATCGCCGCGGAAAATTTGAAAAAGTCTATTTTTCCGAAAATTTGACCTTTGACCGGTCAAAAGTAGGTCAAATGTTGACCTAGGACCAAAAAATATACCACCAATCGCGAGATCTCGGCGAGAGCAATCCGTTGGTCTTTTCCGCTAAGCTCTACGACGCTCCGTTTTCAAACGCCAAGGGGGGGGGTCGCACCAACCCCCCCCCCTGCATGGGCGAAGGTGGCAGATCGCCGTTTACGGGCGAGGGTTAAGATACCGATGAACATTTGCCGATTCCTAGGTGAGCAGGGGTCGACTAGTTATTACGTAGACGGGAACCAGCCTCACACCAGGCGATGGGTATCTACGACTACGACTGTTTGGACTTTTGACTTGCGATCACAAGATCTTTTTCACGAATTTGCCGAGTTACTAAACGAGCAAAGACTGTCGACTAAACACGGACTACGACAGTCAATGCTGTGCATTTTAAGATGCTGTAGATAGATAAAAGGTAAGCTTCCAGCATGAAGTGTTAACAAATCAAGAAAGAAGTTGCCGAAACCTTTCCCTAATAAGAGAAAATGTAGCATACTTTTGCTACTCAGTGTGATATCGCCACGCTTGATGTAATTAAAACGTTATCAGCCGCGAATAGTTTTGCTAAATTTTGTTTTAGCGATGTTTTCCGTTGGTAGGTCGGCGACACCAGCCGAGGTGCTACTCTGTATTCCACCCCTTAGCCTGCCGGTCTCGTGACAAACAAAGTAAACTCGCTAAAAGCCGACAACAGTGGAGTTGGGTTACTGTTTTCTCGGTCCTGAAGCACCGTGTGAAAAAAATATCTAGGTTTCTCACTCGCGTCTCTTTTGTTTTTTACTTCGTGTGGCTGCTGTGATGTCGTTGCATTACGTGGTTCTTGTGTCTTGAAAGGAGAAGCAAACCTTTTCTCAGATCTCCCTTTGCAGAAGCTTATTCGCTAAAAGGTTATGATTACCTCAAAGCCCTCAAAGTAACCAGTGGGAGTCACCTCTCTTCTACAATCGATGTCTATCCCTATCATTACGAGCGAGCGAGCGCAGCGAGCGAAGTGAGTCTTTTCCATATAACGGAAAAATCTCAGTATGAGCGGCCCGGCCCGGCCCGGCCCGGCCTGTAACGCTTTTGAGAGGCTTATATCTCAGCAACCGCTGGACCGATTGGCCCTGCGGTCTTTTTTGCTGGGTAGCCCCATCCAAGATGCCGGGCCCCATCCCTTCTACCCCGTAATTGACTACTTTTGATACACCTTAGTGACCGTCGTGGCACGTGCCACGTGAAAAGTCAGGGGTGTTCAAGCTGTTTTGCAAAAGTAGTGATTTTGAGAGGCTCATATCTCAGCAGCCGCTTGGGCGATTGACTTGCGGTAATTTTTGTAGGGTAGCAACTTCCCTTCTACCAAAAATAGGATACTCTCGATGAATGTGGGTCACCCCCAGTGCACGTGCAAAATACAACAATAAGAGGTGTCAAATTTGTTCCCATTTTAATAACTCGGTAATTACTGGGGCGATTTCGCTGAAACTTGGCATACAGGTAGGCACCCACCAGGCAATGCATTCCCATGTGTTGTGGTTAAGGTGCTACTGCACGTGCGCACGTGCAGGGGGCGTTTCCAGATCTCGAGAACGGCTGGGCCGATTGCGCTCAAATTTGGTACACGGTTGGGGACCAGTTAGTAGGGTGCCGTGCAAAAGTCAGTTTGGACCCCGTTTGCACGTGTGCACGTGCAGAATGCCGCTTCCAGATCTCAGGAACGGCTGGGCCGATTGCGTTCAAATTTGGCACACCGCTAGCGACCGGTTAGAAGGGTGCTTTGCGCAAGCCCGTTGGAAGTTCCCTCTCGCCCTTCCGCACGTGCAGCCTGCAGGGTTCACTATCTCGCTCGCTCGTTCTTCGCCCAAAAGGCGTTTTACTGGTATGTAGCATGCCTATGTAGTTTGGTGGTGGTAAGATTGGTACCCACCCATGTAGACATGGGCGTAGGAACGGCTGGAACATTGTGGGTGCATGGGTGCAGAAATCCAGCCATGGCCGGTGAAGCGGGGGGGGGGGGGGTAGGGAGCGACACCCGGAGCGAAGGCTTGTTACGAGCTTTGAGGGGAGTGTATACCATGTCGAAAAGGTACCGACCGATAAGTGCATTTGGAAGCATTAATTCCCTCGCATGTGTAGGGGGTCGGATGAGCCTCCATGGGTTTTCGCAAATAACTCGCGCAAAAAGCGGCCGATCGCGACGAAAGTTTAAGTACCCTCGAGTTCATCAGTTTTACACCTACTCTGAAAATTTCATGACCCTGACCCAAAAGACCTTTGACCTGTGACCTGATTCTCGAGACCATGTTCGGCCGGAATCGCGATTTGGCGTATGTTAGCTCACATTATCCGCGCGTTTCAAGTCTTTTTGTGATTGTAGACGTCCAAACATGTGAAATGATGTT